AAAAAAAAAAAAAAATGAAAACCGGGGTAGACCTTCATCCCTTCTGAGTGGAGTGTCAGGGAACTGTGGGTCAGACAGCACACCAGGCCACTGCCCAATTCCAGGGATGCTGTGCTCAGGTATGGGGCACAAGCTCACTGCACAAAAGAATATCCTAATATAGAATTCCTCTAGGAAATACATTAAAATATGAATGGTAAAGGTGAATAAGCTAATAATAAAATATAGTTAATAAAAGTTAATACTTAGTGTTTTTTCTTTAGCAAATTGCTAATACAATTATCATTTACCTCCACCATTGAAGCCATTTTTAGTTTTACAAAGTGAATTTTAGAAAGAAATACTATTAACTGAGCAGAACTTTTTATAACTGAATCTGTGTGCTTGATGCAAATGTCAGTTTTGGAATCTTAATCATGGAGCTGTAACAATATCATTCAGGTATAAAGAAAGTTTGCGATATCTGGTATAAAAACAAATGGGGTCAATTCAAAACCCATCATTTATGGTGTGGATTTGAGCCATTTATTAATTTCTGAAATGCTAGTTTATAATTTATAAAATGGAGACAAAAATGCATAACTCAGAAGGTTGTTATCATCATTAACTGATACAATTACAAAATGTTCAAAGCATAGTGTCTTTATTACTAAGCGTCACTGCTCAACTAGTAGTTTACTATCTTTTGTTTTTGTGGTGCACTACCACCACCTGGTGGCACAATTACTTAATAGCCAATTGAGCTTGGGGTGAGTATATCCTTAATACAGAAAATGAAAACCATTTAGCTTGATGATAAGGACTGTAAAAAATATTAAGAGGCCAAGTTCAATGGCTCATGCCTGTAATCCAAGCACTCTGGGAGGCTGAGGCAGCAGGCTCACTTTAGCCCAGGAGTTCGAGACCCGCCAGGGCAACATAGTGAGATCCTGTGGCTATCAAAAATTTAAAAATAGCTGGCCGTAGTGGTGTGCACCTGTAGTCCCAGCTACTCAGGGGGCTGAGGCAGGAGGATCGCTTGGGCCAATGCATTTGAGGTTACAGTGAGCTATGATTGCACCACAGCATTCAAGCTTGGTGACAGACTGAGATCCCATCTCTCTACAAAGAAAAAAAAAATTAAGAGTAAAAAGTAGAGGAATCATCAATGAGAAAGAATCTGACATAAATTATTGATTTATAAGAAATGTTTTTCTAAATATATATGGCAATTCAGGTATTAGATAAAGTTTCTTGTATTCTACATGTATAGATCTGTATATTTATATTAAAGCCATCTGTCTGAAACACTGCTTCCTTAATTTGTTGTCTCTAAAGTTCTAAAGTAACATTAACTTGGGAATGAGGACCATGATACTGTATGAGAAGTACCACAGGAATTTCTGAGATAATGGTGTACAGCTTTAAGATGCCTCTAAGATTCAAAATGCCAGAATATTTTTATTTCTGGTTGATTCCTTGAAATTATGTTTGTGAGTTCTGGTATCTGATTCTGAGATGATATATTTGTAGAACTGATTGGTCAAATTTTTATCAGTACCAAAATATGTGTGTATAGTGTAGAAACAGTGCTAACTCAATGATATTTATTGTGGGCCTGATCCAAGTCAGATGCACCACTTAATGTCTTTATGCAAAACGTTCTGACTTCTCACAATTTAACAACTCAAAATGTCAGTTATGGCATTATAAAATCCTTAAGTAAATGCAGAGAATATAAACGCATTTACAATTATTTGTAAATGCATTATTCAGAAAAAGCTTTCAATGATTTTTGAATTCAAATTAACAATTATAATTTCAGTGATGAAGAGAGAAAACATGGTTTTTATATGTCATGGTTGTTTATATACAGATATTTTTCTATGGAAAACATGTTTGCAACCCTCTAAAGTATGATTCTATTTATGTTATGAATTTCTCTTTAAAAAGTACTTGTGTATGTCATTTAAGAAAAGTGGAGAATTTCAACGAAGTTTAAAAACATTTAAGAAAAATTATCATTCTGAATGTTACCATGCAATATTCATATTTGTAGGTACCAGAAACTCTTGATGTATCTGAGAGACCCTTTAAAGCCAATTATCATATTTCAGATAAGTTCAACATAAAATGTTAGATAAAGAATTAGAAAGAAAAAGAAATGCCAGTTAAACTTGTACATGTTCATAAGTAATTATTAACTCACTTTGATAAAGTTATACACATATATGCTGTAGATATTTATTGGATTTAGAGACATTGTGTTATTGGTGTAAAATTATACAAAATACCATACTGATAAACACAAACTTTATATTTTGTCAATGGAACATAACCCCAGAGAAAGTTGAAAACATACAATTGCCCAGGTGTATAAAACGCACTTTTAGTTAAAGGTTTGGCCAGCATTATTACTTTCCGATTAGCTAGTTCATGACAATTGTGTTTGGTGCTGAAGGTATCTGTCTATCAAAATTATTCCCTGTCATATGTTATTCTACCTTACTCAATTTTGGATCTGAAAAACTTACTGTTCTATCAGTTCTGTCAGCTCAATTTATTTCAATTTAAAAAAATAGTTAACTCAGTTATCAAGCAAATCAAAATGGTGAGATAGTATTTTAT